TATCTTAAGATATAAAATTTAAATAGATTTTTTTCTTTGTAAAGATTTTTTTTCATTGTAAAAGAATTAAAATAAAGTTAGAGATATGGTCTCACCATTAATATTCAAATAAATTTATATTATCAATTATTTTTATTATTTTCTCTTATGAATTTTTTGTTTATTAAAATATTGATAATTAGATTTATTTTCATTAACCAAATTAGTTTCAGAATTATATATCTTATCATTAATAGTTATATTTGGTTTTGTTTTATCAGAATCAATATTATTATATTAAATGATTTGTTTAATATTATTGATTTCTTTAGAAAAAAACTTTTTTTTTGAGCTATGTGCTATTAAATATATAATAATTTAAATATATTATTATTTGTTAATCGATTATATTTTGGTATATAAATATTTGTAATTACTGACCAAAACTACTTACTATCAGCTAATATTGGTAGTATACTTATAATTTGAGAAGCAAAAAATGCTAATTCAAGTATTTTATTTTAAAAATTATTTTAAAAATATACTAGATCTTTAATTAAATAGTTATTCTAGTTGCTTTCAAAGTTAAAAAAATAAATCTTATTAGTCTAATTAATTAATTGCATTTAAAATTTTTAATATCTTTATTTAAAAAAAGCATTTAAATAAAAACCTAGTTTTTTTAATAATAGTTGCTAGTTCTGGATAAATAGTATTTGCAAGTATATATTTTAGATAAAGGGACCAATATACAAAAAATAATAGATTATACATTCTATTCTATCAGTACTGAATCTATATACTAACATATTGTTAAAAAATCTTATCATCAATTATATTAATTATTATTTGTATTTGGCCTATAAATAAACAGCATCCGCAAATATAGCTTGTTAAGATTTCAAAATTATAGGAATATGTGAATATAGTTCTAAAATATAAACAATAATTCTTAAATGATTCCAAAATATATTATTTTTAAGAATAGACACAATATATTTATCTAGCTATAATTTTATTTCATATGCTAACTCCTTTAAATATTGTTCTTTATTTTGTATTTGTTGTAATAATACAAAAAAATTCTATCAAGTAAAAGTAAGAAGTGAAAATCAAAATATACTATTGTTTATATGAGCTTGAATATACTAAATAGCTAGTATACTTTTACAAAAATAAGAAATAATTTTTACAGCCAAGCTGATTGTTGATTTTATATATGTGTGTTTTAACATATCACTAATTAAAAGATTTGATTCATATATAATATATAGCAAATCTAAAATTTTGTAATATTCTTAAACAAGCATAATTTTTATACAAATATAATTAGCAACCCTGTTATTAATAATTACATTTATTTTTCAATACCAATTTGTGTAATTACATCTTTCAAATCTTTAAGAATAACTATTGAAGTTTGGCTTTCTCTAAAAATATTTTTAATTTTAACAAGCTCAATTCTCTGATTTTTGCCAATAACTATGAAATTTATAATATAATCCTGACAAATATTTGTCTATCCATCTATTGCAATTAAAATCCAACCTGATTTACAAACAAATTGTTGAATTAATGTTTGAACTTTTTTATAAACATTATTAAGAATATTATTTGAGAGTTGTTTTTGTGCTAGAACATTATACTATGTATTAATTGAATAAACAAACTCTCAAAATTTTTTTGAAGACAGAGATGTACCATCTTTTATTATACCTTCTAGTAAAAGCTTATTAGATTCATATGAATCTAATGGTAGTTGTATAAAATAATTGTGATTCATTGTAGAAGTAATTAAATTTGAAGCTAACATAGAAGGTATAATTGGTCTATTTGATGTAGTGGTTGGATCTAAATCATTTTGAATTATCGAATTCATTAGTGTTTTTTGTTGTTGAATATTGTGAGCATTAAGAAGATATTTATGAACTTCTAAAGAAATTTTTAAACAATTTTTAACATGTGAACTCATGACTGCAGTGGTGCCTGATATAGGTTTATCAGGGTTGCAAAAAATACAACTTGCTTTTGGTTTTTTATTAGTTGGAATTGGAAGAAAAGCCTGCCAAAGAGGACCAAGCGGATGACCAGTAGTTTTGGTTAGAAGTACACAAAGCAAATTTTGAACATCGGGACTTGGTAAAGGCCAATTTGATATTATGAATCGCAAGATAATCACAAGGATTTAAAATTTTATTTGTTATAAGGTAACAAAGATTTAATTTCGATTTAAATCAGATACTAACTTTTCTTTTTATTTTTGATTAATAATATCGATATTACATATACCTAACAAATATATCACTGTCGCTATCAGCTAATATATTTAATTTTTAAAGAAAAAGCCTATCGTACATATGTATCAATTTTCTATTACTAGCAGGATAAGTAATAAGTAATAGTAATGTAATAGTTATATAATATTAAGTAAGGGATAAGTCATAAGTAATTATTATGTACAAAATTACTTTGCCCATCTCTATTTCTAATACATGATACACAAATTTTGCTCACCTCCGATATGAGGTGAGCAAAATTTGTGTA